AATTCTTCGGTTTCGCCGCCACTCTGACGAACAAGTCGACGAACGTGGACTTGGCGACGTTGCTCGTGTCTCGGTTAACCACCGGATCGGGCACCAGTTTCGATCGTCTGGAAAATTCAACGCGGCGTTATTCGAACAGCGGTCGAGATCGGTATCGATCGAATCGTGCCTTTTCGGCGCGAACGGATCTTCCTCGTCCTCGAAAACGATCCTCTTTGGCACCGACTCGATCTCCTCGATCGTCACGTCCCGGAAATCGAGCTGCTTCGGGTCGGGTGGCGGCGCTACGCCCGTCAGGGCCGCTTCCAACAAAGACATTTGCTCGTACGTGTTCGGATAATCGATCAGGGCCCAGCGTTTCGCGTCCGTCACGCTCTTCAGATACTCGACGAGAACCTTGGTGAGCAGTTGGTCGCTGATCGGTTCGCCCAACACGAGAAACTCGTACACCCACTTACCTACGCGATGCGATTACGTACGCGATTACGTACGCGATTACGTACGCGATATAAGCCTATGCAGAATAAACCTACCGATATAAGCGGCGTCGGTGAGCACCGGATGCAGATCGTCGTACGGTAACTCTCGCGGCGTTTGCGTCTCCTTGTCCTGTCGCGTTCTCGAGTCCTTCTCGTCCGTCCGTGTTCGCGATGATCCGCTTTTCGCCTTCGAGGTCGTCGACATTCGGTCCGAGAGGTACTCGCGAAACTTTCTCGCTGCCTCGCCGGTCGCGGCGATCACCCTCGAATCGATGTACTCTACGTCCGACATCTCGTCCTTGTACCTGCCGAGACAGTAGTTGATCGCGTCCTCGATCCGCACCAAGTGAACTCCGTTCCTCTCGAGCAGCGTTCGAATCGATCGATGCAGCTCCGAGTCGGCGACGCCGAGCAGAATCGCGGCGCTTTTAAATTTCGAGAGCAAATGTTGCGCGCGGTTCGGCGGCCGAGGGTAGAGAGCGTTCAAGAGACGATGCACCGCGTAACCGAGTACCACGCGACCGAGCTCGTACGTTTCGCGTTCCTCCTCGTCGAGCATCAGGCTGAACTCCCTCCACGGCGGATTCACCTGCAGATAATCCTCGAGAAGGATATCGCGAAGCGCCTCGGCTCTCTCGATGCTCGCGCACCATTCTCGATACTCCGAATCTCGGTCTTCCTCCGATTCGTCGAGCTTCTCGAACGTCTCGTCGACGATCGGCTGTTGCTCGACAAACATCTTTTTCCATTCGTCGAGAAGCGACTGCGAGACGTTCCCGTCGTTCACTCGTCGATACTCGCCGACGTTCAACGCGACGCTCATCAGATCTTGTACCACTCGGAGACACATAACGTAGTGATTCGTCTTTATCTTTCGAATCTTCTCCTCGACGAGCCTTCGTCGAAGCTCGCACATCCTCTCGCACTCGATCTCCGCGTCCTTTTGCCTCTTGGACGCGACGTCCTTCTCCAGCTCTATACTAGCCCGATGCTCGAGTTCGCTCGCCTTCAGCGTCATGTGCTCGACGATCCTTCGATTTTCAGCCATCGCGTTCTTTTGCTCGCGCACCTCGCACAACTTGCTCACCATCTGCTTCTCGTATCGCGATTGATCCAAGCTGCGTCTCGCGATCGCTTCGTCGAACGCCCGATCCTGCTTTTTTTCCATTCGTTCCCAAAGCTCCCGCAAGAACGTCTTTTGCGTACGCGTCTCGAGAGCGGCAACGGTCGCCGCGCGTTTCGCCCGACTTTTCAACCGTTCCACGTACGCTTGCCCCGTACGCGGATCTTCCCCGTCCTCCATCAGTCTCTCCAACTCCGACGCGAACCTGTTTCTCTCCTCCGTCAACGCACGCTCCTCTTCCTCGAACGTCTCGAACCTTTTTACTCGCACGCGTCGCGCGCGAGCGAATCGATCCAGTTCCTCGATCTGCTTCTTCCAGCTATCGTCCGACGGCTGAGATGTCTGCGAACCGGTATCGACCCTTAATACCGTATCTCTCGCTGCTATTCAGCGCGTCGCGTCGGAGATATACCTCGCATTGCTCGACCGGTCGAACGAGCGAGTACGATTTCCAAGGCTCCTCCGGTATCTCCCGTTTCCGGCGGAGCTTCCGAAGCAACGAGGGAGCCTCGAACCTTCGCGTCTCGTCTATTCCTCTGCAGAGCTTAGCGCACAACGGATGATCCGGAGGCTCGTACGGGGGAGGGTCCTCGCACACGGTGGTCACCTCGAATTTCTTCGACGTGGGCACAAACTTTTCCCTCTCCTTCTGCAGCGTGATAAAATGCAACCTGTCTTTGCCCTCGAGACACAGGTAGAGCTTGTAGAAGAGTCGCAACGACGTCGCACCCTTGCCGCAAGAGATCTCCGCGATGCTCTCGTCGTCGCAGTCGATGCCCAAGAACCGCAGCCAAAACTTTAGATGTTTCAGATTCACTCTGCACAGAGCCGGATCCTGCGTGTGCGCGATCGTTTCCAACTGGTCGCGGTTTATTATGTCGTAGCTGTGCAGAATTTGCGCCAAAAGCGTGCCGTCTCTGGTGTAATGACCGAACATGTCCGGCGACAGATCGATCATCGCTCCCAACCTCGCCTGTATCCAATTCTTCATGATTTCGCCCATTTCTGATCGCTCTTTCGTCGCTCGATTCGACGTTTGCATGTTCCGTCGACCAGTCCCCGTTGGCGCTCGATTCGCCGTGAAATCGGCCGCGACTCGGATCGCGATTATCGCGATTATCGCGATTATCGCGATTATCGGATCGCCTTCTCGATCGTTCGCTGAAAAATGGATTAGCAAGAGAGAAAGAAGACACGCGCGTGTTAAAAAGTTGTGTACTCTTTATTCCCTTTATACTCCACTGCACATACACGACGTTACAGGCCTACATAGGTACAGACGGGTAAAGAAAACCTTGGTTTCTCAGCTTCTCTTTTATTCACTTTAAACCAACAGCGTCGCTTGAGCATTGCTTCGATTCTGCCACGAAACAAAGACAAGGATGATCGTTTGCGTTTAAAAAGGTGGCAATTCCGGCAAAGTCCGGCTCTACGAGTAACGCGTGCGCGACGTATCCCTTTCGCTCTCTTTCGTTTTCTCTCGCACTTTCTCTCGCTCTCGTTCTTTCTCTCGAAACTTTCGCTAAATGCTAAATGCTCGATCGCGTCGCGTCGCCTCGTCTATGCCCCGGCTCGCGCCCGGTCGCGCTTTTCGTCCGTTCGCCGTTTCGCGAGATCCATCCACCAAGAGAAGAAAAAGTTCGGTAAAAGAGACGTAATCGAAAGCCGATTCGAAAGACGATTCGCGAGGTGGCGCGATCGCGATTCCTCCGCTTCGATCGAATCGTCGCGTCGTTCGGACAATTTAACCCCTTAAGTTAGGAACCCCTTTTTCTCGTCTCGATCCGCGCATCAAATTCTCCCTATACCTTTCGTTCTTGCGCGTCTCCGTTCTCCGCGTTCCACGATGCTCGCCTAATAACGTAATAGTGATCATCGTCGTAATAATAATCGCGATAGTAATAATAATAACCACATGCCGGTCACAGTTCGATCGACGTAAGAAACCGTGACGATGAGAATAACGGTAATAATACAACAGCAAACGTTTAAAAAAAAATTCGATCCCGTCGCGCAAACCTATTTATTCGCGCAATAACGTTTAGAATCGCGTGCTCGATAATCCTTACTGCGCCCATAGACGCGTTAACATTTCTAACCGACGATGTTCTCTTCCTTTTTCGATTAGTCGTTATTCCTTTTTCCTATCTTTCTCTATTCGATCTTTTGCTTACTCTCTCGATTTGCCCAGAAAAGAGATCAACGACGAAAGGATCGTCCTCGAAGAGTACAAAATGAAGTATCTGTTCGTCTAATGTCCTCTAATACTCGTCTATACCGGTCCGTCGAGTAACACGATTTAAGTCCACAAGTACGTTGGCGATCGAATCGATACGGACGCGTAAGTCGTTGACCGAAACGATTAGTTCGTTAAAAATTCGTTGTCGCGTAACATTGTTCGCGCGTACAACAACGTTTCTAGAAGTCGCGCCGTTCGAGATCCAATGCACTCGCGACTCGATCCGCGATCATGCACGAGATTTTATTTTATTGCTGTGGGCACTGCTATATTATTCTCTCTCTCTTTCTCGCTCTCTCTCCCTCTCTCTTTTCCTCGGTCCGTGCTCCTTGTTCGAAAAGAAAGCACCAACGGACGACAGGCGCTTCTTTTTCGACGAGTAAACGAAAGGAAAAGTTCGCCGTTGGATACATCTAGTCACTAGGTAAGGTCGCTTGTCCTCGTTCGGAGGCGCGTCGAGCGATCTGTAGGGCTAATATAGTAGGGTCCGCGTCGCGCAAGACGTCCAACGAAAGGTATGCGCGCCTAGTAACCGGAGGAGAACTCTGTCAGCGGGCCTGTGCGATATTGGACGTCTCGCGCCACGCTGACAACGCGTAATGTACGAAGGAACGAGTTCGACGACTCCACCTAAAAATCTACGTCCTAACGTTAATCTACTTTCTATTATGCGCGTCTTTCGGTGTGCCGGTGCGCGTCTTTCTTCCTTTCCGCCTCTAATCTCTCGCTTCGCGCGTAATCGCTACCGTAAACTAACGCTTCTCTCGCTACGCGATAAACTACTTTGCCGCTACAGTTTAGAGCAACATGGACAATTAATATTTTTTCCCTTCCGTCATCGTCCTACCGTCTCTCGATCTCGAGTCGTTCGAAATTATTCGCTAATCGCCTCTCTCTCGCCGTCGCGCGTAAACGAACAGTGGATTATCTCGATTAACCGACCATCCCTACGATCCTTTTTAAGCCGCTTCGCAACCTCGTTCGTCCACCATCGAGAAATTGATCGACCTCGCGTTGCCAGGTTTCGCGATTTCTCCTCGCGGTTAGCTTTTAATCTCGAGTCTCGAAACGCGCGAAATCGACGAACACGCGTCATGCTTCGCACGCTCTCAAAGGCACGTCACTTTGTAGGTACCCGGTTTTTATTTATTTTTTTTTTCTTTTACTTATTCTTCGTTTTCTTCTCGCGACAAACAATGGACACGCGCGATTTCTCTCGATACCGATATTTCGTTATTAATTTGACCGTGATCGGTAGTGTTTAGCGGTATCGCTAGCGTCGCCGCTCTCGATAATATCGATGCTATAACATTACTATTAGCGTTAACTTTATCGTCATCATTCATTCATTTACTTGATCTTTCAGTATTATTATTACTATTATTATTATTATTATTATTATTATCGTTATCGTTATCGTTATCGTTAGATTACAAGTATTATTGTTGTTATTGTTATTATAATTACTACTACTATTATTATCATTAGTTATTACAATTTTCCGTTGTCGAGTGTTATTCCGATTCGACTTGTTTCGTTTAGCGGTGTTGCTGTCGATATCGCGCGTTACGAGAGTTCGCGATTCGCCACTCTCATTCGTGATGGTCGCTGTTCGCGTTCACGAAACGATTGATCGCGAGGAAACAAATTCCCTCGACTGCCCGCGGACGACCGCGCAAACTATTGTCGTCGCGTATTTTCTACAGCCTATCGCGTTATCGTCGTTACGTCTACGCCGCTATTGCTCTATCGTATCGTTATTGTTATCGTAAAGTATCGTTATCGGTACTATCGGATAGGATGAAAGAAGGAAACTCTTTGTTCTACTTCCGACGAGAGAAAGCCTCGTGGCCAATACGCGACCGCGCGAAAACCTTTTCTCCGAAACCTGGCAATCTCGTTCCCGTTCCTTCACGTCGCTGTACATTTTTACTCTCTTCCCACCGAGCGTGTGTTTCGATATCTCTACAACCGAAGAGGAAATACGCGAATTCGTAACTCTTCGGACGTCGTTTGCGTCCAAACGAATTAACGAGAAGCAAAACAACGCGATCTCGTTTCCGATCCACGTCGTGGTACGCATCGTGCTCGTCATCGCTCGAGGAATTGGACGAGGTTAGTAATAATCGTCGCGGTTTCCCGCAACTGGGTCGTCGCGGTGCCGACGTAGCTTGGCGGAAAGCGTGGAGAAACGGCGAGAAAAGCTAAAGCCAAGGAGAGCTCGAACGACTTCGCGTCTCGATCGGACACGAAAAGAAGAAAAGAAAAGAACGAGACGGTCGACGAACGATCTCGCGCGAATTCGTTAACAATATTTGTCGCGCTCTTTCGCTCGTCTTTCATTCGGAAGCGCACGCACGCTCGCATCCATGCACGCACTCATCTACTCGTGTCCACGAACACACCATCCAATTATGCCAATTACCGTGTGCGATACAATTACGCGATTAGCAGTATCACCGTTACTTTATTATAATTAGTGTTACAAAAGCTTGATTATTTGGATCGGACTGTAGCAATATATTCACATAACTATCGTCGTTGGAAAATAAAAATTCAACGTTTACATTACAATTGTTCATCGTCTTCTCGACCGTCGACAACTCGATTCGTTACGAATCGCAATAAATACGGTATGTTTTATAGTGTTCAGTAATAATAATAATAATAATAATAATAATAATAATAAAAATAATATACAAATAAAATATAATAATAATAATAATAATAATAATCATAATAGTAGTAGCAGTAGTAGTAGTAGTAGTAGTAATAGTAATAGTAGTAGCAGTTGTAGTAATAATAGTAGTAAAAATAAAAATAATAATGATAATAAGAATAACAATAATAATACTAGTAGCAGTAGTAGCAGTAATAGTACTAGTTGTAATATTAATAATCACCAGTGTAATCGTAGTTGTTACCTTTGTCCTTGTCTATCGTCATCGTGTCGTCGCCGTCACCGTCGTCGTCGTAACTACCGTAGCGATGGTTGTCAGTGAAATCGTCAAAAAACGAACATCGATCAGTCTCGTAACACGATTCGACTACTGTACAGATATTGCCACAAACACGTCGCTTTGGAATAACGCGCATTCCACTTGTTCGAGCTTAACCCTAGAATGTACGTTCTTTGCGAAACAGGCAACGCTCGTGGTTCTTCTACTAAAGTATGCAATAACGTTTAAAGTGTAAGGGTTACTGCTGGGCGGAGCATCGTCATCGGTCGAGGTTCACCGTGTTGTGTCGCGTTGCGTTGCGTTCCGTCGCATCACAGCGAAGTCGGTTCCTCGAGCGATGAACAAGCAAACGAAGGAACGCCGAAACAAATCGTATCGTTATCCGCGCATCGCGCGCGAATGATCGTCGTCGAAACATTAGCTTCGCCAATTATTGCCGTTTTATTCGTCAACAGCGAAATTCCAAGAAATACGGTATAGCGTTTCTCGTGTATACAATATAATATATATGTATATATATATTATATATATATATATTCATCATTATCATCATTATTATTCTTATTAATGTTGCTGTTGATGTAATTATTATTATTATTATTATTGTTATTATTATTATTACTATTATTATTATTAATATTATTATTATTATTATTATATATTATATAGGTATAATCTAAGTATCGCGTCGGCATTCGTCGTCGTGCAATGGCACGACGATCGCACGATTGCACAAAGAAAACGAGTTACCTAAGGAACTAACTAGCTAAAGACATTCGACAAGTATAACCGCGAATCGCGTCGTCGTAATACTCGAGGATTAATCGCCGCGACATTGCACCGTTAACGTATTTCGAAAGATTCACGGATTCGATCGCGAATTCCGTGTTGCTCGACGATCTTTTCTCTACGATGGTTCTCGGTAAATTCCTCCGCCTTGCCGCGTTCGATGGCCGCTGTTTCGTTCGCTTCGTTCGCTACTTTAGTCGCGTTTCCCCTCGCCACCCAGGGAGGGAAAGCGTTTAATTTAGAAACGGTACGGTCGTACAAAGTTGACGATACAAAATATCGGTGGCGTACGAGCGCGCGAAAACGATGAGACAAAAGCACGCGTTTGGAGTGTGGCCGCATATAAAAATACACAATTGATTTCGTTCGACGATTAAACGCGTAATCGAAACTCGTACTCTGAAAGGGGAACGCTCAAGCTTTTCTTTTATTCGCGACACCCTGTACACGTCGGACGCATTCGGAATTACGTAGAAAATTGCGTTACGATCGACGATATCTTATTTTACGCTCTTACGATATACGCTTCCGTCACGCTCCTTGCACAACCAGCTCGTTTACGCGCCTCCGACGCCGCGAACGGATCGACGAGTCGCTCGTCGAATCGTCTCGTTCCGAACGGCGAACCGATCGCGAAAACGAATCGGTCGACGTATCGATAACGCAACGACGGTAACGACGAATAGCGAGTCTCGTTCCTTCGTATCGCGTGCATCGAAACGACGTAGCAGGAAAGAAACGAAGGAGCGGCAAAGACGAAAGGACAGTAGACGAGGAAACGAAACGGACGCAAAGTTACAGGCAGGAGCGATAGATTTGTTTCTGTGTCGCGTTCGCGACGGAGAGGAGGTTCTTTTGTATGTTTTTTTTCACTATTTTCTTTTTATTAAAAAAAAAAGGAAAGATATATCTTCGTTATATCGTTTTCGTTCTCTCTCTCTCTCTCGCACACACTCTCTCTCTCTCTCTCTCTCGCGCTCACTCTCGCTCCGTGTACGTGTATGTGTGTGTATGCGTGCGTGTACGTGTTTACGAGCGAAGTCGATCGACGACGCGTTGCAAATTTCTATTAAGCTCGATCGTGTGTAAGCGGGGAACGTTCGTTGCGAACGAATGCGCGTTTCCTGTACGGAGGAAAAACATTTCGGAAGGAGGAGCAAGAAGACCGAGCGAAAACAACGACGAACATCGCGGTACCGCGTCTGTCTGTGCTTTGGTTACGGGGATACAGCAGCGTAGGTTTTCGTAACGCGCGCTCGTTATGCCTCGTACGCACGCGTTTAGACGGCATCTTCGGAGCGAGGTATTCTTCCAAGCGTGGCTCGCGTACTCCCTCGATGTCGGTTTTTCCGCTTCTCGAAAAAAAAAAAAAAAAAGAAAAACCAACGGAACGGCGCCACCTCCTCTCTTTCTCATTCTGTCTTTCGTACTCTCTCTCATCGACATTCTCTTATTTCGCCCTCCATCTCTCGCACTCTCTCGCTCTCGCTCTGTTTCGAATCAATCTCCTATTCTTATATCATTTTCCGATTCTCTCTAGTTTCAGTCGTTTCGCGGTCCTCTCGTCTGCCTCGCCCATCTTCGTCTCGAACGAAAACGGCGCTTCGTCTAACGTACGTCTCTCCCATGGACGTGAACGGTTTCTATTCGTCGGTTTTTCCCTCCTTTGCATCGCGGATACGGGTGTACGAGAAATCGGACAGTATAGGTACGTCCTCGAGGAGAATGCTGGCAAGGTTACTCCGTGTCTACCGAGAGCCGCCGCTCTCGGACGTCTGTGCCACCGTCGCGGGATTGTGACTCGTCTCGTACTCCATCACCTCCTGATAGATCAGCTCCTTCCACTGGTCCACCGTGTGTTCCCTCTCGTCCACGCTGTGGTCGTACGGACCCGGTGCAGGCTGTAAGAAATTCCAGTTGGCCGTTAAATCGACGTTGTCACGCCGCGGCACGGCGAGCGTCGGAGACAAGAGACGACAAAGAAAGAGAACGATCACGAGATTAACCCGTTAATCGTCGCGTCGATTTCGAGGGTTCTCGGTTTATCGTTGGTCGCGGGGGAGGCGTTACCGCGTGTCGAGAAGATCGCTCATTTTTTCGATCGACGAACAACACGGTTAACGGGTTAACGACGGATCGTCCGCACTTACGGCATTCACTTCGCCCTCGTCGTACCACACGTTTATGTAATTGTGCAGCAAAGCGTCGTCGACGGAGATGCGTCGCTCGGGATCGATCACGAGCATGCGCGACAATAGATCCCTGGCTTGGCTGGCTGGAACGCAACAGAGAAAAAAGAAATGCAAGGAACACTTGGTCGAAACGCTTAGCAAGGATTCTTCGATGAACGGCAACGATAATTCGTTTTGCTCCTCACCTTTTAATCTGTTGTGTTCCGAGGAGTCCGAGGGAAACAACACGTCCGGAAATAACCTGTCGAAAGGATATCCCGGGTATCGTGGCCTGTTCTCCACGTAATTCCTTACCGTCGGTTGTAGCCGCTGCATAAACTCTTGTGCCGGCGTTCCCAGTTGTTCTGCAAAATCGAGTCGTCGAAATCGGACGAAAGACAAAGAGGCGAATCATCTTACCGATTATCTTGTTCCACTGATCGATGTGGTCGGTGCCGGGAAACAGTACGCCGCCTCGAATCATCTCGCCCATGATACATCCAACCGACCAAATGTCCACGTTTTCCTTGTAACCCATTCCCAGGATCACCTGCGAACCACGAGAAACGAATTGGCGCGTTACCGCTTTTCCGAGAGCAACCGTTCACCGTGTTTCGCCAAAGTGTTCCGAAGAAAGATACCTCCGGCGCTCTGTAGTACCGCGTCACCACGTACGGCGTCATCATGAAGGTGGTGCCGGCGGTCCTGGCCAAACCGAAATCGAGAATCTTCAACGTGCAGTCGGATTTTACCACGATATTGCTCGGCTTCAAATCCTGTCGAATCGACGAGGGAAGAATGAAGAAAAAATACGAGATCGTACGAGAAAGGAAACGCGATCGACGAGAGAACGTTCGCTTACCCTGTGAATGATTCCGGCCGAATGTAAGTGCTTGATGCCGCAGAGCATTTGGTAGAGAAGGTAAGACATGCGCTCGTGATCCAGATCCATCTGGATTACCTGGCACAGGTTCGCGTCCATAAGTTCCATCACCAAGTAAACGTCTTGAAACTCGTCCAACGATCGTTGCGGAGTGAACGCGTTCAGAAGACCGATTATCTGGAAGGAGACAAGGCGTTCGAGGTAGACAGAGAAGATCTCGAATCAGAAACGCGTTTCTTACGTTTTTATGATTGACCAGTTTCATCAGCTTGAACTCCCTGTAGGCCCTCTTCGCGTGCGTGACGTTCTGAAACGGTCTGGAAAGCTTCTTGATCGCCACATTCTGCGCGGTCACCGTGTCGTACGCCGCGCTGAAACACACACACGCACAGGCACACACAGACGATTCGAGATCGATCGAGCGAATCGAGCGGCCCTGAACACCTTCCAATCGGCCGCGACTTTTAATCGCGTTTCGATCGCGTAAATCGTTCTTTTCTCGTTCTCGCGAGTGGAATCGGTTAATCGAGATACGCGTTCGAAGCGGCGTCGATACGGGCCATACTGGAAGCTCGTTCTTAGCGACCGCTAAAACGTTGTATCGCCGAGGAACGGAAGGAGGAGAGAAAACGGACTTACCAAACGATTCCTTGTGCGCCGGAACCGATCGGCTTCAGGTTCTGGTACCGCTTGAGAATGGTGAATCTGGTGTCCCCGACTTCGACCGTGTAAAACATGGCGGACAGCCGGGTTGTCATATCAGGCCCCAGGTAAGGCATGCGCCTCGGTGCACGTCTCTCCTGCTGCACCTGTACCTGCACCTCCCCGCCGCTCGAGCACTCTTGGTGCACCCGACGAGGACTTACGCTCTTAGCCACTTTGAACGCGAGTTTCGGCGTACTTGGCTAAAAGGAAATTTATCCGCGGAGAGGCAAGGCCCACGAACCAGCACGTTCGCTTCTCCCGTTGCCGCCGCC